TTGTTGTTTTCCCCTGTAGTGTACTGCATTGACCTCTTGTGCATCTTCTGTCCCAGGGTGCATCTCCCTACTCTGCTCCTTGGCGATTTCTAGAATTTTACACTGCTCTATCACTTTTTCAAGTGTCAGGGTATCATCTTGAAGAAGTTTTTCTCTCAGCTCGTTGCTCCTCACACCACAGATGATCATGCACTTGATCAACCCATCCTCCAGGTTATCAAACTTACATTTTTGTGCTTGCTCCTTCAGAGAAGTAATAAATTGCTCAAGGGTCTGTCCTAACTGCTGCCTGCGAGTGAAAAAGATGTATCTCTCGTATGAAAGATTCACTTTGGGCTTAAAATGAGCCTCAAATTTATTCAACAAGGGTTGTAATTTATCTTTTTCCTCTTCTGGAAATGTAAAGGTACTGTATATCTTGAAACCTTCTTTGCCTAGATAGTGCAACAGCTGGGCACACTGTACCTCCTCGGACTTTCTTGTTACCTCTGAGGCTTTGAGATAATTCTCAAATCTGCGTCGCCAAAACAGCCAATTCTCTGCTACATTGCCTTGCATTCGCATTGGACTTATTCCTCTGCTGTCACCCATGGTATTTAGCTTATTTTCCTTACTTATCTTATTTTATATTTCTAATTACGTACTTAGAAAAGTTTGGGGCACATGGTTTTTCACCTCCAATTTCTTTCTTCTCAATCAGATTCTTTCACCGACTGCGCCATGTAATTTATTATGTTGTTCTACTTATGAACAATTGTTATTTATTTTAGTGATCTGTTAATAAAACTATTAATTATTAACATTAGCTTTATTACTCAAAAATCCATTTCAGCGGCCTTCGCCACACCCTAACAACCTAACAACATCACAATAACAAAAGCACCATCCCCGTCCATCGCACACTGCGCATGACATCTTTTATGTATGTCTAGTTGCATACCTAACAGTCCTAGCTGTGTTCTTAATTTACAAACTTTGACTATATTTCTATTACTTTTAGGTCTCTTCATATTCATTATATTCATCTGTAAGAAGAAGATCCTGAACAATATCCTGTGGAAGCTGAAAATACGACAGAAAGATCCATTTTTGAACAACACCCGTTTCCAGTCGACTACATCAACTACTCGAATAAGCTTGAAGAATAGCATCAACGGGGTGCACTGAAGTATACAGGGTCACAGTATATTATCCTTATACTGTGACAGGGTGGAAGGAATTCGTGAGAGATGACATGAAATGAAAGAAGGAAAAATTTACATTTATTGAATAAGGACAGAATGAATAAAACAAAAATGCAAATTTTCACTTTGCCCAATTCGAACTATTCTGTATCTTATATACTGTTCGCGAGATCCCAATTGTTTGTTTTACTATGTATATATGTATATGTACCTGTTTTATATGTTTATGTTACTTATCTACTCTTGTAAAGTACCTACCTACTACTGTAATATCGAAAATAATCGAACTTATATTCAACAAAATAATACAAAATAGATTTTGAATTATTATAAGTCATCAATGGTTTACTATTTACAGTACTGTAGATTTTTATAGAAATCTGTAAATCAGATTTGAGGTATTTCCATTTTATTTGTTTATTTCTCGAATAACAGTTTCTAAGATCGTTATAGATCTCATAGCAATTTGTATATCTATTTTATATATAGTTATTTATTTATTATACAAGGGAAAAAAGTAGAAGATTTTAGCTCCAGGTTGTGTTGTCTCCCGACGCCTAGCCTCCCTTGTATAATACAATATTTCCAATCAATATTGAGAAGATATGACATTATATTAAAATAAGAAAATTATCGACGTGAAATTTGAAGTTTTCAACAGGATTGACACCTGCGTTGCAGGCATCTGTTTGCAGGTATCTTTATCATTCTTTTGAAGTAATCGAATATCTGTCAGTCTAATTCTGTGGTTTAGTTTTCAAAAATTGCGAATTAAGTTGTTATTATATTACTTAATATGTGTTGTATGAAGCATATTACGCATATCTAAAAACACTTGTATCTTCTCTTAAAAATCGACGTGAATCAAAAACACACAGAGCGATATAGGAAGTATAGAGGGTGAAAGAGTAACCTTTGTTTTTCCCTGTACAATGATGAAGCCATCAGCTTCTCTTAGAACCTAATATTCAGGCTTACATTCCTAAACATAAATATACGATTTGGACGAAATTCCAAAAAAATCGGACAAGAATTAAAAAAGTTACATAATAATTTGGTTAAAGTTTTTGGTGATGGCCGGTGGCACTCACTTTTTCCCAAGAGAAAAAAGTAATTTATGAAATGTGACATTTTATAACCTGTCAACAGAGATGAAAGTTCAAACTTTTTTCACGTCACAAAAAAAATTATGTTTTTTTGGTACAACATACATTGGTGTTATATATGTATTATAATGACATTTTTGTTGGTATTTGTAATCTCGCACCCTAAATGAAAACATAAATAAATACCTGAGAATTAAACAATTATTGGTTGATTTTTTTCAGTCCATACTACAGTTCTCTCTACGAACTAAGTACACCACCCCATATAATGTAACTAATTTTCGGCAAACCTGTACTTTTCGACATATCAGATGGGATATTTAATCAATTTCGAGGAGAACTATAATACTGAAAGAAAATCAACAAACTCAAATAATTTTTTACTTATATAATGGGCCCTCAACTCGAGACGTTTTTGGAATTCCTCCTATTCGCAGTGGGAGCAAAAATAATGATTTTTTTCTCGTGTTATGCATTTCTTTTTGTTTTTCAAAAAAACCGTGGACAATCATTATTGAAAACAACTGTTTCTTTGTTACATTGTCAATGAGAGACGAATGAATCAGTATAGTTGAGTTTATACTCACAGGATGGAAGCAAACTGGATAAAACTCATTCTAGAAAGAAATGCCTATATGCAGATTAAAATAATGGCTCATTCGATTATACAGATATTAAGAAACGACCTTCTTCATATTCATGAAAATTTTAACTCTTGCATATGAAATGAATAATGCCAGGTATACATTGGGATAGTGAGAGTAGATATACCTGTCTATGAGGGACCCAGTATATTATGCTCTAAAATCAATATGTGAAGAAAACAACCAGTATATGATTTCGAATGCAATCTTTGTCAAGTGTCAAGTACGAAACATGATTTAGATATAATAAATGTTAAATAATTCAGATGATGTCATATGGTATGTCCATTACAATAATATAGTCATTTTTATGGTTTATTTAGTCACACAAAGTAACTATAGGAGGATTTTATATTTCAATCCTTACAATAGGAAGCCCCGAAGTCATGGGAACTACCTATGCTGATTTGCATATAAAATGGAAACTATATTTGTTTCGATAAAGTTTGTCTTAATTTTCACGAGCTTGATCACCTATATCAAAATTTAAAAAATGGAAACTATATTTGTTTCGATAAAGTTTACAAGTAGTTTTGTCTTAATTTTCACGAGCTTGATCACCTATATCAAAATTTTCCCAATCACAATCTGAAACACCCTGTATTACGTTACGTACTTTATGGTGGAAGGTGGACACTGTGAGCACAGCTTAACGTAAGTAAACAACACGAAGTAAACAATAGTTTCCCTCAACTCGGAGCACCATGTATATTATACTACTTCCGAGTTCACCTATCCAAACAACAACAAGCATCAGTAATAAAAGGTGATTATACAAGTAACACTAACAACAAATTATTCACCACGGAAATCAGTCCCCCCCCCCTACGTCACTAATTCTGTTGGGGAATCTCACCGGTCAAGACTAGGGCGAGCATCATATGAGGAGTCACATTTATCTGAACTTCTGCTGGACACGATTGTATCCTTTGGTTTCGTCATAGATTAATTAGAAGATTTGAGAACGATCCAAGATCTTTTAACGATCGATATTCTACGAAAGCGTATATAGGCCACTACTGTGTATGTGTATTTTTTTTATTTCTCTATTTAGACTTTTTTCTCTGAATTCAGACTTTTTTGTCGGAATTCAGACTTTTTTGTATGAATTCAGACTTTTTTGTCTGAATTCAGACTTTTTTGCCTGAATTCAGACTTTTTTGTCTGAATTCAAACCTTTTTATATCAATATACTTATCATATCATCCCTTCATCAAAGCAATTATTTTTAACTTTGAATTCAGAAAAACGACAAATCTGAATTCAGAGAAAGAAAGTCTGGATCCAGACGAAAAAGTCTGAATTCAGAGAAAAGAGTGTCTGAATTCAGACTTTTTTGTCTGGGTTCAGACTTTTTTCTCTGAATTCAGACTTTTTTCTCTGAATTCAGACTTTTTTCTTTGAATCCAGACTTTCTTTGTCTGTCTGTCATTAAAAATAGTTGCTTTGATGAAGGGGTGATATGATATATAGTAATTTTATCTTAACAATTGAGCATGTAATGAATGTAATATCGAACAGTTTTTTCATAGTTCCAGATGATTTCATTTGACGATTCCAGGGATATATTTGTTCTGTTATTGTTCCCACGCTGGTGTGTTTATGAATAGAAAGTGAGTTAAGGACGTACCAGAATTAAATGTGCCTATCAATTCCATTACAGCTTTCAACAGTAATAAACTGTATTTCAGAAGTTGCACCCTGTATATCACTGAAACTAAGGGTCATCCTGCAGGAATATGCCATCAGTAGGGACCTTTATTTCATCTGCCAGGTATACACATATGACAAGAAAAAAGTCTGCTGAATTCAGAAAAAAATACACAAATAATTAATTTCTGATACCTAAATGAAGAATGCTTTCGAATTCCAGAAATTCCAATATCAAGCAACAGAAACGGAATTCTCGAATTCTTGGCAGATTGGCCATATCGATTGATTGTATTTATTATTATCAGTGGAATAATATTTTTTTTAAAGTCCGACTTCTCAGATAGTGCTTGCCCTAGATTCTAGACCGGCTAAGTCAAGTCATGCCATGCATGCCTCCCTGGTTCCATTCGGGCATTCGCTATTGGTGCTCCAACAGGGCAACAACGAACGCGTTCACCCACCGCCAAACAACCGAAAATGCGCGAATTGAAAAAATAATGCCTCGAATACTACCACTGGTGTCCCTGGTACTCACCCTCAACCTCCACGGAATCACAAGCGAACAAGTCAAGAAGTGTTGCGGACCCGAAGAGGTCTTCAGAAGTGTCCAGAACACGTTCCAGTGCGTCCAGGACATCACCCGCAGGGTGCAACTCAGGGCAGACGCGACGGACGTCGCTCACGAGAGTCAAGGAACACATCGGTGCGTGGAAGCCCTCAACGGGGAATTCTACGAGTTCAATGTCACCGAGGGCCGTGTGGGACTTTTGAGTGCCGCTGCTAGGGACCACTTTCCCAAATGCTGTCCATTGAACTTCACCTACGACAGTCAGCTGCATGCCTGCTCGGACCAAGGTTATAGCCGGCAGGACTTCTTCGCGGTGCCTTTTGTTAAAGTTGGCCTGCCTAATTGCAAGGTCGTCACGGATGTTTTGCTGAAGCCCTCGGAATATGGGCTTCTGGATTCCACCCTTCGTTCTTCGCGTTATCCTGGTTCTTATTGCATCGACAAGAATGAGGAGGAGGAATTGGTTCTGAGGGAGTGCAAAGACAGTATCGAGGCTTGTGAAGGGCTGAAATGCGTGAAGAAGTGCTGTCCTGATGGTAAAAGTTTCGCAAATAAAGCCAGGTGTGTCGATACCTACAAGTATGGGTTGAACTTGACGGTTTTCGGAAATATTATTGAAAATCCTGATGGTTCGTATACAATTTTTCCACTACTAGCTATAGAACCTAATACCACTATTTACTCCTTTTCGAGGCGTAAAGTGTGTTTTTACTACCAAGGTAGTTTTCGTCATTTTATGAACCACTAATCGATAAAGACATAGTCACCTCTGTTGTAATGAACCTGAATTCACTGTTCTGATGCGAGATTCGCAGGAATGGCACTGGAATCTAGTAGGTATTTATCAATAACTACTTGTCATATGTTGTCATGGTCATGGCTACTAGATTTTAATTAGAATTGCAAAGAAGTTCTTCCATAATGACAATAGGTCCATATTTCAGTTTCACAGAACGAAAATGATTGAAATGTATTGCTAGTGCTAAAATGTAATATACATACCTACTTTGGTTGTGATAGCTATTTATATATCAAGGGAGTGTGAAGTTTGATGATATTGAATATCATTGATATGATTGATGATTTCATATATGAAAATCAAGTATGAAGCTACAATAATTAAATAATAATTCTAAAGAGTATCAGGTATGCATCAAGTTGAATTTGGTCAATTAACTTGCATAACAATGAAAATATCATAAATTTTCAGGTGGGCTGAAAGTTAGGTATTGAATGAGGGAATAGAAAACAACATTTAGATCGGTTCTGAGGCGTATACTCAAAAAAAAGTTCTTTCAATTTTTCGATCAATATGTAACATCCTGTGTGTGTCAATCAGAATGGTATAGAATATTTTTTATGCATGATAGTCCTTTCAGTGTGACTAAAGAAATTCAGAACGATATTTATGGACACAATTGAAAAATACGAAAATATAAAAATAAAAAATGAAATCCCGACGAAAGGTAAGTTTAGTTCAATCATCTCACTTTAGTCACAGGAGTCTATGGTATCATTTTGTACAGACCTTTCAGGGACACCCTGTGTATATGATTTTATCCACGAACGCATATATTTGAGGGGGTCGTTCTCAAAATTGGTCTATCTCTCGTGCCTTGATCATCCAAACCGTTTTTCATTTGGACTTTTCGTTTGGCCGTTGATTGATAGTAGCGTAATATATCAATCAACGGTTTGGCAGAAAACGAGGCGGGAAAATAGGTCTGCATAGCGATTGTCGTGGAACGTCGGTCTTAAGGAAGTGTAGTATGCCTCCGAACAACGTGTATGATCGAAGACCCCTGTTGGGGTAAATTAACTGGTTTGTGTACAAGAATGAGGCAGCAAACGCCCTCTTTCATTGTAGCATAGATCTAATTACATCTATGATTGTAGTGAGTAGATAAAGAATATTATTTCCACGGGACCTTAGCTGAAGCCCCCAGGATATAATATTGGTCCCTGATATTCTTTACTGCCTTGGTGTATAAATAACTATTTCATATAGGATGAAAAATAACACTACTTATATAGCGTGATTTGAACAAATTATCGATGAATATTAATCCGGAGTATTTGGGTTTTATCCGATGGGTATAATGTATGTAATGTGATTGTCAAGGACAACAACATTTCCCATCTCTCGGACTTGATTTTCAACCTGTGGAACGCCGTTATGCAAAGGATTATACAAGATGTATCATCAAACTTTGGTTGGATAATAACAAAGATTTTTCGCTGCTTTTAATTAATGTCAATGTTTCACTCTATATCATTTGATCAGTTTGTTTAGGATATGAGTAAATATACCTAACTATCTAAGTACTTGTAATTGAAAATAGCATGTGAGAGACAATCAATTCGTACCAATTGAAGTTTTCTCGAACACTCATAGTTGTTTTAAAATTTCTCAGTTTTTTATGAAATTTTTTCTGCAGCGGCGTTCATTTACTTGGGAAATAAATGGCATTTTATAGATAGCGATGTCCCATAATTTATATTCAGGATTCGTGTTCTGTGACAATAATCTTCGAAAAATTCGACCATTCAACTGAAACATCACGAAAATAATACAAGTACATTTCTTTATTCAGAAGAGTATCACGATTTAGGATTTATTTCAAGTCACTGCGAGAAATGGGTGGATGGAAATTAAAAAAATTTATATGAATTTTATAGAGTGGGTCCCGTGAGTACTGATAGATTCTCCAGATTTTTCAAAATCATTTTGAAAATGGGTCGAAGGCTGCAACTGAATCTAAAGGCATTTTATCCTCCCAAAAAAATCATCTGTACCGTATTTCTTCGGCATGCTGATTTTTTGTTCTGAACCCTTGAAAACTGAAATCACAACTCTTGGTAGTCTTGATAAACAGCTCATCGTGATTTTGATTGTCATTATTTTTGTCTGTATTCGCTGAAAACCAACATGGCAATCTTGAAATTATCTGTTTTTCATCATGAATGTACTGACAAAAGAAAATCTCCTAGGGAATTGCGTGAACATTTTTCATGATAGAACAACATTTCATCTGAACCCACAAAAAACTTTCACACCTCTATCCTATACTCAATATCTCTAGCAAAAATAGAATTCCAGCAAATATACTCTCATTAGTTTTTTTTTAATTCACATATACATAGTGACCTATATGTATATTCCATATTCTAGATTCACAAATTAAGCTATAACATCATGGAAATTGTATCATTCAAATATAACAAATAGTTTTTGACCGTTATCAGAATTTTCAGCGAATTGTGCATGTCAGTATATTGTTATGTTCATGGGGTGCAGCTGAAAATAATGATTTTCATTTCAACAACTTCAGTGACATATTATACCTCGATTACTTCACTATTACCACATTATACACCCAGAGGCAGAGAGTAAAGTGATTAAATTTTGTTATTTTTGTTGTCAACTTAATTTAATTTTATGCATTCCCAAAGAGTAGAAACTAGGTTGAATATACTGGAATGGCAATAATAATTCCATATTATGCGTATAGAGAGAAACGTTACACATGATATTATGAAATTCCTGAATGAATATACCGTATCCCATTCTCATTCCTTTCGATCTATCATGTCTATAAACTCCTAAGAGATTCTCCTTTGAAATATCACTTAATCTGAACCAAATCCGAACATTATAGAAATTTCCTTCCGTGCGCTCCAAGAGGCTCCAATTGGCAATGCTATTTTGGAATATTATTTTGACAGTAACTCTAATATCTGAACGTAAAGTACTAGGTCGTTAAAATTGAGGAATATGAATCGTTATCTTTACAATAACTCATCCATAATTGACTCCATATTTTTCATTCAGGTTTGGAACATACAAATTTCAACTCCCTTTCCTCGTATTCTCTACGTCACTGAAGGAGTTTTCAATTCTTTGATTTCTTCTATCAAAGTTTCAACTATATGGTTTTAGAGATTATTGTAACGAATTCAACGATATCGGGTTTGATTGGGTTATTTCAAACGATTACGAAGATATTCTCGTTCAAAGTTTCCATATGATCAATGAGTGTGAGAGAGATAGAAGTTTCGATATTGCGCCGTCACACCCATTGATCATATGGATACTTCGAACGCGAATATCTTCATATCCGTTTGAAATAATCCAATTAAAGCAGGTATCGTTGAGTTGGTTATAATAATCCCTAAACGATTATGACATGAAATACAGGGTGTTCCATTAGAAAATCGAACGTGCATGTTGTTTCCAGGGAAACCGAAAGATGAAAAAAATATCCAAAAATGTGACAAAGTGCCCTCTAGTGAGCATATTCGATGTTCCAATTTTCAGAAATATAGCTAGAAAAACAAAGAAGGGTATACCATGAGTATGTGTCACCCAGTATATACATGCTTTCTTATATAGAATATCTCGAAAACTATCAAGCATACTCAGGGTTCATGCTTTCGTAACACCCTGTATGTATGTAAAGGTTACTAAGAATAGCGTTTTCTTGAGAAATCTCTCATATCATTTTCACATTGTTCAAGGAATCTTGAGAATTGAGACCAAATATTATCTTTGCATCTGCAGTTGTTGAGGAAATGTTTATTTGTTGATGGTGAAGTCATAATAGGAAATATTTTTGAACAATTTCTTGAATCGCAATTGCCATTTGCATAAATCTCGCGAAGTGTGTTCAATCTCAATGTAATCAAACAATTTAGAAAACACATAAATACATACGAGGCGGTAAATAAGTGATGCCATGAAAAGGTCTTTAGGTCCTATTGTTATGTGTGGTCTACCAGTCAGCGTCTGAATATCTATTTAAATTATTTGCGGAAAAAACATTCCTACTGATACGAATAATATATGTTTGTATGTAGATAACGAGCGTTTCACCATATGGCATAGACTAGTATTACGTTGCCATCATATATCATATTGCATACAGGATAAAATAAAGTCCATCATATGGAATGATTAGAAACATTCAAAATCATTCCAACCAATAACGTACAAGAAAATACTAAGAGGGGCTAAAATAACCAAATTGAAGTTACTCCGGAAAAATATCAATTTCCGATATATGTTTATTTGGTATATTTTGACACAAACAATGTGACCTGAAAGTGTCTTGCAAAAGTGATGAAACATCCTGTACACTTATTCAGCTTTCAGAATTGGACCTATGATATTTGTTCAAATATACTTAAGAAATTGTGTATTTCATGAAGAAATAATAACTGGACTCCAGGTTACTGAGGAGGGTTTGATAGCCGAAATGAGTTCATTCGAATAAAGTCATATAACCTGTTTGTGAGATATAATATTCCCCTATCACTGATACGAATGATTTTTGGAAGTTTCAAGCTCATCATGATCAGAGTTTATACAAGTATACTTCTATACATTTCAATTTTCATTTCAGTACTGAATATATTGGTGAGTTATATTTTTATATCATTATAATATTATCAGAATAGTTGATGAAACGAATTTTCGGCAAATAACTTTTGATACGATGAGAATTTCAATGGGGTTGTGAAAAGGAAAAAAGTTTGTTTTTGTTACGCATCGAATGACATGAAAATATACAGGGACTTCAATTTGCAATATAAGAAAAATATAGTGCTTTGAAATTTGAAAAGTTTGCCACTAAATTTTGCACACCCTGTGATGATTCGTGTCAATAAAACTCGGTTAGCGATCCTCTTAGGCCTTATTTGGTATGTATCTTTTATGATTCTATTGAACAGGCACTCCCTTTTTTGTTATTAATGTTTTTGACCAGTGGTGCAAAATTAATTTTTTTTGGTAAATTTTGTTTCACGTGAATATCACTGAACCCATTCCAATTAAACTCCAGGAGTATGTAGGTAACCACTAGAAGCACTCAAAATGTGCAACAGACTATATGGCATGCAGTTTAAAAAAAAATCATTATGATGTCACACTTTTTTGGGACACCCAGTATAACCGAAATTATTTTCCTTGTATGCGCCCTATGATACAATTGAAGTCTGCAAAATATCAAAATCCTGACTCAACTGATAACTGAGCTATAGAAGACGGGAGGTGAGATGCAGGACTCTTTATATCATATTATTTATCCGATTTGAAAGAGAATGATAATTCTCAATTTCAGAGGATTTGTATTTTCATGTTCTCCTTTCGGTTGTCCAACAGATATAATTCAATGTTCGATGTGGCAAAAAGCCAGGAAAGTAGTTGTTTTCTGTTGAATATGCCGAAAATGAATTAATATTTCCATCACATAGAGAATGCGAATTCTCAATATATTTCTACATATATATCCATTCCTTCATGTCCATAATATGTCTGAGAATATTCCTTTTCAACACTTGAAAAAATATATTCCCTATTCACGTTTTCAGATAATTATTCCATTATCTACAACCGTACCTGCAAACAGATTTACATGATGCGTGGGAACCAGTTTAAATTCACCCTGGACCGAAATGGTAAATTCACGGAATTCACGAAAAAAGGCAACCTTTCCGAAGACGTCTATAACATGAATTCCTACTGCATCGAGCATAGCCAAGGGCGTGTGAATGGATATTTCTTCTTCAGGTAATTCTTTTCACACTCAAAATATTGAACTATTGGAACTTCGATAAGCGGCTAAGTACACTGATGCCATTGTTGCTAAATAATCTATTTATTTCGAAACTCATAGAAGCTTCAAATTGTAGCAGAGGTAGCTCATGTATTCGTGTGATTTTTTGCACTTATCATGCGATGATTTTTTTTCGAAAATGTTTTTTGTACCTACGTACATCTTTGGACTTTCCCTTCCTCCTGCAAAATTTCAGAACCCTACCTCAATAATTACGTGAGATACAGGGGTGCTTCCATGAAAAGTGAGACAAAATTTAATTTTTTTGAATTGAAAATTGTCAAGGAAAACAATGTATAGTTAGTGAATTGGGCGTCCTGATTCCGAATCCGAAGTGATGTTCAACCTATTTTGACTCCTAATATCATTTTCCGGAAGTTGGGGTGGTTCCATGGCTGTTGCCGAGCAGTGTATCTCATTGAAGATTACCCCACTTGGTCAGAGAGTGCGTTTTTGGTATATCTCTCGCTCCAGCAAATTTCAGGATCCTTACCCAACGATTACGTAAGATAAAGGGGTGTTTCCATTATAAGTGGGTCACACTGTATAAATCATCCAAATAATAAAAAAGAAGGGTAATTTGTTCTAAATGCGATCCAAAAGACAGGCGGAAAAGAAGGTGAAATTTGTAACTTTATATTTGTCCCCATTTTCATCATAAATTTCGTGGTTCTCAGACAAAATTACATAATTAACAAAAAAATGTTTCGGAAAAACAAACCATCACATGATAAGTGCAAAATTACCGAAGATAACTTCCTGATTTTTTAGGTGTTTTCAGGACCAAGAGTCCATCCTTAGCAAGTTTGACATCACCTTTTGGCCCTTGGTGTTATCCTGCATTTTTCTGGTGCTGACCATATTCGTGTACGTTGTTTTGAAAGAGACGAAGAAAATGTTCGGAAAAATTCTAGTCAATTACTGTGTAGCCATGTTGTTCGTTTTCACTTCTTTGACGGTGGCCCAGATGAATAATAGACCCGGAAGAGCAGAGTGCAGAATGAAAGGTTAGATTTACAATAATTCTATGGTGAATGTAGCGACTATAGCATGTCACCTTCAGTATAGATGGACAAAGTGATGAAAATATTACAAAAATGATACCATCAAAACAGAACATTTTTTCAATGCATATAAAAGTGTCATACATGAACATGTATTGTTTAGTATATACCAGGCAATACTTTTAGGTATATTCATGGTCTCAGACCATGATGTGTTTATCACTACTTTATACAATAACTACCCTTGATCTGAAATCTACAATGTCTCTATATTTTAATATCTACTATAGCAATGAGAATATTTTCGAATTCACTTTAATCCTTAAAAAACATTTTAATGATACATTTTTATCACAAATGTGTCACAACTCGAATTCAAGGAAGTCAATTTTCCATTATAATCAATCCTTAATTATTTAATCCCTTGTTATTGTTGCGAACAAAAAGCTATATCTGTATAAACGATAATTTTGAATTCCGCAGTGAAAAATAACAGTTTTCATAGGAAAATAGATAAGGACAAAAAGCAGCATAGTTTAATCATGCATGACAATGGAAAATTTACTTTTCCAAAATGTCCGTAGAAAAACTAATTTTCAATGTTTGCACCATTCATCAGTTTCCACACTTTCCACATTTCATCATTCTACTTTCAATCGAAAGCGAAACATTTTTTCTACAGCTCAAATATATCATTTTTTACAGCATTTTCCATCATTTTCTTCGGAATTGCTTCATTCACCTGGTCCAATATTATGTGCTGTGATATTTGGTGTACCTTTGGGTAAGTGTCATTATTATTGAGAAAATCGAAAATTGATTCGCATCTATGTATAATGTATATATACAAGGTGTTGTGCGGTGTTACTACTTCCATTAGAAAGTATAGTAGCAACCTCGTTATTTTGAATGGTGCACCCAGTATCTCATTGCATCTTAAGATTATCTCTGAAGGGCTAATTTCCTCAATGCATCACACTTGGGAATGATTACAGAGACATAAAGTGTTCAAAATCGAGATTTTTCATTCTACTATTCTACTATTCATTATCGGTCAAAACGGTTTACATGTTCCTATCTTCAGTTTTGATTTACTAATACTATTTCATTGGAACAGATACAGGGTGATCAGGATTCTGAATCTTGAACCACCCTGTATTTGTTTTTATCAAATGTAAATACATGGTAACTTAAAAGTTTAGATAGGGACATGACAGCCGTTTTTACCGATAATGGATAGTTTCGGCAGGAAAAAGTTCCAAAGTTAAAAAATCTCCATTTTGAACACCCTATATCTCTGTAATCATTCTTGCTAGACCCCAAGTGTGATGCATTGATGAAATCAGCTCTTCATGGAAAATTTAAGAATGCAATGAAATACAGGGTGTTCTATTTGAAATAACAAAGTATTGCTACTACTTTCTTATAGAAATGGCAACACTGCATTGTCAACATATTTCAGGCGGATAGAGCTTGCTCTATTATCCACGCCCACGAATTTTCGAAATGATCTGTATTTTGGTTCTCCAGATACTTCTAATGTTCCATCCACCGTGAAACACCTTGTATTGTATATTCCTTTCCACGTCCAAGTTGATTCGAATGATTCTTCTTTTTCATTCGATTTCGTATTAATTTTTCACATGCAGAAAGCATAATTATGATATAATGAAAACCTTATTATGTAATGCATATAGTTATGGTAATTTCACCTCATACCTGTCTGATTTCAATGCGATATTCAACGATACATTATAGTCGAAACAAAATAATATTCGATATTTACCTACCTATTTCCATAAGAAATATAATTTTCTGAATCTTGTTAATACAAAGTCATTCTTTGCGTCATTAGCTGATAGGTGATTGTTAAATTCTCAAATTGGCACTCACTTCAATTGCATAAAAATAGCATCATTGAGATATGCTTTCACTTCTACGACGATGAACATTTTTTTAATTATTGATAGATCCAGTCAATGAACCACGTATTTACCAGAATTATGAAGGTAGGTATACTGAAACTGGCGTTCTCTCTTTTCAGACATACAGGGTGGCCACTTTTTTAAAAGGATTGTATTGGTAACTTTCATCAGGGAGGTCTGGAGAATACGCATCAAAGTTGGATGCAAAATCTAAAAACGTCAAGGCAAAGAGAATTCACTTTCGAATGAAAAACCTCCTGTTAGTTCTGAAGGATAACCAAAAAACCAAAATGATCGAATTTTGTTTTTTCAACTCATCTCAAGATACGTCACTGATATTTTCGATTAGATTTCACCGCTAGATGATACGCAACTTTTTCTAATTAGTAGGTATGGTTTGGAAGTTACCGATACAATGCCATTGAAAAAGTGGCCACCCCATAAACCGGTGAATTTGGTCCAATTCGAATGCCTCAGGTACATAATACAATATCATTACTTGTTATATCCTTTCACCAACTTCAAACCATCATAGATATAGTGAAAAGTCTTAACAAATCATATTGAATCGATTGCAACGCCTATAACGAGTATAAAGGATTGATTATGAACGATAAAAATGCCCGATTCTGAAAAATAATTGCACGGCCCCTTTTTTATTAAAGCTAATGAATCTATTATTTTCAAGATCGACAAGACGTTATTTAGGAAGGAAACAAAAGTCAGTGGAATTGAAAAAACTGCTGTTCTACAGCCTTTATGGTTGGGGCACACCTTTTTTGCTGACACTGGTGATAGTACTATTTTACAATTGGAGAGTTCTTCCTTACCCCATTCAACCTCTCATGGCTGAAGTCAGATGTTTTTTCGATAGAAGTGAGTGATAACAACAAATATTCTTCACAGCTACTAAATTCTGAATTCCATTCGTAAAAATAAAATTTTCTTTCTATGGCCAAATTATCATGATGTCTGATTTTCAGAGGATGGTAACTACGCAAAGGTATTATTTTTCGATGTTCCTCTTCTGATCATTCAACTTGTGAACATGGTTCTCTTTATGAAAACTGTAACGTATTGCATAAAAGTCAAGGACGAAATCAACAGAGTGAATGACACTACCAAAGATGACAAAAAGAAAAAATATCAAGGAGACAAAGAAAGGTACCCTATACTTATTCATATTGGCAACATCCAGTTTCTTCTCCAAGGCTAAATCGTTTTCCAGATTATTTTTGATTCTGAAGCTGATGGTTATCATGGGAATGTCATATATTTTCGAAACAATTTCGGCGTTTTTTGACATGAGTGAGGCAGGTGTTATTCCGAAATATATCGAAATCGTATGGGACACTATCAATGCCTTTCAAGGTTTGTATCAACTTCAAAACATCCAAAGAAATCCCAAACAACAATATTTTCATGTACGCGTTCATTAAGAATCTAACCACAAAGGTCAATATTTGTTTCGATTCGATAAAATTGTGTTTTCTTTTGCAGGTGTTTTCATCTTTATCATTTTCATCTGCAAGAAGAAAATTTTAGCACGATGTTTGGAAAAATTTCACTTAATCGATGCATCCCACATTTCAAGTTCTTCATCAGTACATACTCAATCATCTTTGACACTAAACGGTTTCTCCATGAATACCTTAGGAAGCACGAACAAAAAAATGTCGAAATAAATAGAGTTTTCAAACTTCTGTGAAGGCTATAGAGATAGATTATATAAGATTACCTACCATATAAATTTCCATCATCAAATAAATCGAAATTTACCATAAAAGGAGGTAGACATTTCGATTTTGATGCGACATAAAAATAGAAAAAATGAAAATATTTATGAATGAATGTTGTTTTTTTTTCAGGTGTTCTCATCTTTATCATTTTTATCTGCAAGAAGAAAATTCTAGTACAATTTTTGAAGAAATTTCACTCATTTTCGAGGCACCATAAATTCCAAGCAATCCATCAATACATACTCAAACATATGTAAACGGATATCTCTATATGGATAAATATATGTAAGAAACGTGAATAAAATGAATGTTGAAACAAAAAAATATAATTGAGTATATATAGCCATTGTGTGAGTGCAGTTTCATGACGGAGATACATGTTCGTCACACTATTATTGAAGCAAAGATAAAAAATACAAAAAATGATGATATTTGAAGAATGGGACAAAAGAAGTGGTGCATGATATCAAACAACGTCATTCTTGAGTGCGAAAAATTTCGGGGGGGATTTATTTTTATATTTCATGATAAACAGTAAGTACATTTGTCCTAACTCTCTTCGTTTTAGATCAATATTTTCATAATAAATCGTTTTATTATTCCTTACTCAAGGGTATTGGGCCAGTTTCAATGAAACTCAATGGTTTTGAATAGTAACATGGAATTCATTTTGGTGTGATTACAAATTCGACATTTATGGTGAATATGATATGCCACTGGGTTTTCTGAGTTTAATATTTTTATAAGATTGAAAAATTGATAATACAACTTTCTTGTGGCCTGTGTTACTTTTGTAGACTCGCTTAGATTTTGCGGAAACAATGAAAATTTGAGTCAACTCCAAATTTCAATGTAGATGGCTTTTATACCATATTGAGTTAACTCAATGTAACTTCAATAAGTAGGCATCATTTTGAAATCTTGAGACTTTGTCACTCACCAAACCAGATTGAATTTTGCGAACATGAAAACTTACACAGGATGATTATAAAAAATCTATTGACACTCCCAACTTCAACATCCGATATCTCAAAAACGAAGCAAGTTCATGTTCATGTTCACATGAACTTTCTTCTGTTTGAAATATGTCAAGGCGCACTTCCACAATTTGTTCGCACTGATTCTTTAACACCTTGTAGAACCGTTCCAGGACTTCTGCACACCCCTATATAATACAAAAATTATTATCAATTATTGATTGCTACAAATGCAAGAACATGAAGATATATTATAATACTACATACTTTCAATAGATAAGATAATAATTGACCAGTATATGACAATAAAGGAAAGAAGCCTTGGTGTAAATAATCAGATGCAAAGGTAAACTCTTCTACACCCTATACATATCGAGATAGAAATGACTTTCAGAAAAAGCGTAATATATCAATCAACGCTTATAGCTTGGACCTATAGTGAAGAAGTTGGTTCAAACTCACAAAAATTCCCACCAAGAATACCCAATGTTGGTAGAACTGATGATAATTTGCATAAAAATTATTATCAGCTGTACCAACCTTGAGAATACTACTTACCTCGCCATCTTCCAGCTACAGATGTAACTAACTACACCTCTGCTTCTATTTCGCCACTCTTGAACAAACTTAGTTCAGCTACTGCTCACAAGATGTCCCAATGTACCATTCATCAAGCAAAATCTATAATCGTAGTAGAAATTCCTCACACAGATAGCAGAGTGCTGGCACAGAACTCTGTAATTTGACTGACATTCTGTGGGCGACAGACATTGTTCAGCTCAATCAGCTGTGGCCAAGAAGATACCAACCTTAAAAGTGCCTAAATCTTTCGAACCATTCCCATCACGTGATATGTTGAGATTCGTGTTGAGGCTAAGTTCGGTCAGAGATTTTTATTCTGGTCTGGCGTCAGCCCACTGTTATCATTTCTGTAGTGATTTAGGCTCTGAAGGATGTTTGTCCTTCCTCTAGAGACCCCGAGGCTGTGACCAATCTGGCAATGAGGTTTGGGAATGGTTCGAAAACTTTACTCTCTCCTCTAACCTAACCTTGAGGTTCTTGAGTTGTGATGGTATTTTAGGTTATATAATTCAAAACAAATACTGCATGATACAAGATACAAGTCCCTTCGGTTTTCTAGTGAAATGTCTGCGAATTTGAGAAGCAAGGTGCTCCACACTTTCAAAACCCTACACAATACTCGCAAGCACATTTTCAAGGGGGACCACTACGCTCTAGCAGAAGCTAGGAAGAAGATCAACGAAGGGTTCAAGAAGAACAAGCATGTGTCTGATACAGAAGCCATCCAGGAAATGATCAGGTACTCGCAGGAGGTGGAAAAGGAACTGAGAACATGCGTCATCCAGGCTAAACAGGTGGCTCCCGGTAAATTCCAGGCTGAAATCAAGCAGGATACCTTGAAGTTGGAAAACGTCCCTTTCAATGAACATGCCGTTATAAGTGACAAAATTCATACTGAAAGATGCAAGAAATAATAGTGATTTCGTTGGTTAGATAATAATACATAAAATACTAGTCACTTTATGTTAGGTAGGTACAAATGTCTAGTAGGTAGGCAATTTCTACTTGAATGTGAGTTGAAAGTAAATTGAAACTACTCTCTAGAGTTCATAATTTCAATGTCTAATTCTAATGGAATCTATAGGTATGAGGTCAGAGGAAACTAATTTCATTAAGTTGAACCTGGTGGAATTTAGGTCTTATAAAGTTTTAGATAAATATATTTATTTTTTTTAATAAAATATTTTGAAGTTGAAATATATTGCTTTTTGGATCAAATAAGTGGATTAAGACTGAACACATCAATAGGATACAGCGAGGGATACCAGTCTTCTTTTATCTCTTGGAGCACACGAAAGGAAATTCTTATAACAACAACATCGTGCGTACCTAGACAGGATATGGAAAGAAAGTATAGAGGTGTTGGTTTTTTTTTGAAATTCTGGAGGTTATAAGTTCTTGGCAAGTAATTCCAAAGTTTCGCCGTTCTATAGACGAACGAGTTTTGGTAGAGCGTTGTTCGACATATTTCAAGGTTGACAACGAAAGGATGTGCTGACTGGGCCTGTCGAGTTCGTCTGACTGGTAATGCTAGTGATGAAATCACAGCAAAGATTTCTGATCGGGAAACATTCCGAGTGGAAGTATCTATAGAAAAGTGAAAGGTCGCCGACTTTTCTACGGTGTTCTAATGAGGTCAAAGAATTATTGAGTGTGAAATCACCCACCAGGCAAATTGCTCTTCTGTAGATGGAATCTATATCCGCGTATGTTTGGGTGCATAACCCCATATGTGAGAACAGTATTCTGAAACTGGCTGTATCTGACATTCCCAAAATATCACGATTCTTCCTAAGACTTTTTGTTGAGAAATTTCACCTTGAAAATTGAATATAAAATTTCAAAAAATTGAGTACCTAAACCACAGAAATCCGCCTATTGGTGCTTCTTATTAGAATTTGAATTATATGTTGTCACTTCAAAATTTTCGATTCAGTTTCATTCTCGATTTTCAAGCCTATATATTATTTGAATAATGAAGTTTTTGATGATTTAATTTTGAATGGCTGTAATTCCATACCGCATAATATGATATACCAATTAAATACATCTAATAATGGAGTTTCTATATCTATCTATATGTATACTAAATTTGAATCCGAACAATTCATCATCGTAGTGTGAGTATTTTTAGTTGGAGAAAAAACTTCAAAGCGATATTTTATTTCTCAGAAAAGCGTTTCAATGTTTGCATCAATCTCTCATGAGAGTCTGGTTTTTGTTATGATTATGCTAAATGTTCATTGTGATGAAATACATTTCTTGTTCTCTGATAAATTGCTATCATTGCCTGAGTTGGTCCCCAAATAATGATAAGGAATCTAAGCGAAACTATTGGGCATGTATTTGGAAAAAGGAGCACCTATATTTCGGCATAGAAGTCGACATTTCGAGAACAAATTAGCAATTACGAGGTAAAAGTCAGATTTCTATCAAATGGAATAACGAAAAGACCCGTGTGGCACTTCCACAATTTTTGAATTTGATATTTCCCTGCCAAAATTCTTCGAAGCGAGTTATAGATCAATATATTAAAATTCTGACATTTTTCTTCGAATGCTTATTTCTATTTGAAGAATACAGGGTGTCCCGAAATCAGCCTACCAAACTTCACCAGCGGCTTCTACGACCAAAAATAGGGATAAAAGTTTCAGAACATGAGTCGAGAAATGTCTCAAAACTCGATAAAATGATGCATTTCGGTACAAGAATTATACTATCCATGCCCATGCCAAAAATCATTCCAAAATTGCATAGTTTTCGACAATTCAATATCGAATTATGAAAATCCACACCGTTTTACAGACTAAAGATGCTCCTGTTTCGTATCGATCAGATGTATCATTTTCGAGTGAAAGCGATTTAAAAATATTGTTGTTCATTGATACTCTTACTCCAATTTTTTGTCGTAGAAGCCGCTATTGGAGTTTGGCAGGCTAATTTCGGGACATCCTGTATAATGTTGAAGAAAAAGTTCCAAGGAAATTTGGCTTCATAACAATAACCACTGTTGATAATATAAGAATTACAAAAACACTTCGCATGCTGTCTGAGACATCCCATCTCGTATTTTTTATACTCATATGTTGCAATTATAGAAGCATATAGATATTATATATATCAATCAAAATAAACAAAAGAATATTCATTGCAAAAACAAACACTCCGAGGGAATAAATTACGTTACCAAACAAAAGCTGCCGATATCAAAAATGATTCAATCTGCGTGGATCAGACTCACAAGAGTTATTCGTTATTTTTAGAAAAGATATTTCATTTGAAACAATGTGGTGCTCCGGAATCTTTAGATCGCTGATTATCTCAGTAACAGTTTTCCAATTCGTATCATCGAATTCGACTTTTGAATCGAAAGCCAAGTGCTGCAAAACAAACGAATGGATCGTGAGTGAAAATCAAAAGTTGTTTTGCAACAAAAGCCAACAAAACCGTTTGTTATTAAGCGACAGCCAAAAACACAACAGTACCGAGTGTGTGGAGGCCTACAACTCCAAAGTTTACCTCTTCGGAAACCAAGAAAACTCTTTCGTCCTAAAGGAAGTTTTCCCGGCTGTGTCCAAATGCTGTCCACCCAACTTCTATTACAACCACGTTCACCATTCTTGCGCCTTCATGCCAAACAAAACCAAAACTTTGAACGAATCGTTCATCAAAATCGGGCTCTCGCATTGCAATGTCATTTCGGATTTTCAATTCGACTCTACACATGATTTCAAGATAGCAAATGGCGTCCTTTTCCTGCCGAACGTGACACAAAATTTCCCAGAATATGATTTTTGCGTGGACGACAATGTGGACGGGAGATTTGCAGTGAGGGTGTGCCGTGATATTGGGGTGTGTGAAAATATTAAGTGTGTCCGCAAATGCTGTCCAGATGGACAGAGTTTCGTCAACGGGTCACATTGCCTGGACACTTTTCAGCATGGCTTGCGATTCGAGAACTTCAGCGATTTCATGGAAGATTTTAGTGGTGAGTATACCTAGGTACCAAAATGCGTATTCCAATTTTTCTCAATTTTTTTGTGGCATTTTAGTGAAGTCTTGAGCATGGAACGCACACTACCACAGTTATGAATCATTAGGAGGGTGTACTGGTTCAGATGGAGTTAAATGAGACCGTTTAATAATAAAAGCGATACCAGGGGCACTTTAATCTAGAGCTTATTTGAAAACAAATGCCTATGGTATATAATCAAACATTTTATCAGCTAGGTACAACTTTAAATACTCAAGGAGGTGGTATATTCATTTTACTTGATTTTTTGGGATTTTCTCTCCTCGTTTCTATAAAATACAAATATGCGTATTATTTCAATATACATATAGATAGAACATGGTATTGACCATTGAAAACTGAACATGAAAATGGTAGATTCAAAATCAATTAATGAAAACATCCTGTAACTCATGTGTACCCTAAAATCACCCATTCATATGACACTGAGAAGTGTCAAACTATAAGCAGAGCACAACTTCGAAAGAAAAATATTTTGCATTTGCATGTTGAGAACGGGAGCAGATTTGTCCCCGAAACGTCATTCCTTCAAACATTTTTTCAAACAAAGTGTCACTGACAAGCTACTGGATTTTTCTTTTAGGCTCCCTGATAGGAAGATTTGTTAAAAGCAGTGACATTTTGAGGCAAATCATCTGGTTTGTCGCACTACAAATATATTGAAATAATGCGCATATTTTTATTTTAAAGAAATGTAGGTACAACTCTCTTGATTCACTCCGTATGAGCGGCACTAATGTTCTAAGTGAAAATTCAGTACCCAAAAAATTCAATATAGAATTGAGATTTGAATGTAAAGAACTTTTCCTTAACCATAATTATAATCTGAGTAACATCTACCGCTGGCTAAAAAAATGTTTCCAACATTTTTCGATATCGCTATTCTTTTTTTTTTCAATTTTCTCGGCCGTTACTTGATGGAAATCCATATAGTATACATATAGCTATTCTCTTAAATCTTTTTCCTCAATAACAGATTATTACAATTTGTTGGTCATCTGGATGGTCTGTTATATGTTATATAATTTAAAAAACAATATCACGTAATATAAGCCTATATTAATAGACTTTGATTATTATTCCATATTTCTTTGAAGGCGTAATATAAATAATCATTCCCACACTGAATCTAATATCGATATAGTTGCGAGCAGACATTTCTGCTAGAATTGTTGTTTTCCTACAAAAATCGACTTAACAATGATATCGATTCGAATACTATCAGGTGAATGACTATACATACATATGAATAACAAGATTTTTTGCCGAGCTATTCTCAAACAATTCAACAAAATTAATTATTTATTTTCAACTTTGACGCCCTGTATCTCTCAAAAGAATCCTTCTACGACCTACGTTTATTGAACTTATTTCTTTTTTTTTTTTCGAGACGCCCCATCACCTCTTGAAGTGCGTCCAAAATATTAAGAAACATCCTGTATATGAATAGTTAATGCCACTTTTTTGGAATGTTTGACATGGACAGTAGATCGATCCAGAATTCACAAACGAGTAATTTTAATCTGACTGGTTTCTGGCAGTGTTCACAGGGAAACCGCAATAAGAGGTAGATGAATCCATTTCATGTGGACCAACGGAACCAGATGTCGAATGAGCTTCCAATAATTCAACTTTTTGATTGACAAAACAATTATTCTGACATTTCTGATGACAAGAAGGTCGCAAAAACTCTCTATCTCTATTCAACTGCGCTGTGCTGGAACCGTACTTTATGGAAGAACAAAGCCAGTGCTCTGTGCTAGGGCGCTTTGTAAATCGGCGAGTGGAAAACACAGAAAGTTTCACAGCATCTATATTTCTCGCTATTTTTCAATAAAAAAGTTGTTTCGAAAGTTCCCTTCATCTAAGTAATCTCCATATTTCATTCCAGATGACTTCGCCATAATCCATGGCTATCCAGCAACAAACCGGGTCCACATGGTACCAAAACCTCCCAAATGCCCCATGGACCAAAAATCCCACAATAATCCATACTGCATAGAACACGCGACAAAGAACAACTTAACCTTTGGACAGTGTCACCCAGTATAGTTCTGAGTCAAATCGTTTGAAAAAGATGAATATTTGCTCTGACTTCTGTTACCAGTGAGGGAAAAACAAAAATGTTTCACAGCATCTGTATTTCTCGCTATTTTTCAATAAAAAAGTTGTTTCGAAAGTTCCCTTCATCTAAGTAATCTCCATATTTCATTCCAGATGACTTCGCCATAATCCATGGCTATCCAGCAACAAACCGGGTCCACATGGTACCGAAACCTCCCCAATTTCCCAAGGGCCAAAAAAGCCACAATAATCCATACTGCATAGAACACGCGACAAAAAACAACTCCACCTATGGACACTTGTACTTTGGGCTGATTGTAGCCTCCAGTCCACCGATGCCAACGAAGTATTTGCTGAATAGGGCGGCGATGATACTGTCCGGGATATTTCTGGTGCTGACCATGATATTCTACGTGGGCACCAAGGAGATCAGGAAAGTGTTCGGGAAAGCGTTGGTCAGCTTATGCTTGTCGCTGCTCGCTCTGTATATAATGCTCGTTTATTATACTTTCACATCGGATCTACATCACAAGAAGAACATAGTCAAGTGCAAGGTGATAGGTGAGATGATACATTTTTTCTCAGTGTTGACAATATTTTAACGTAACCTTTTTGGTGGCTATACAGGGTGATCAAGTTTCGGTGACTATAATACTCCAAGAATCGATATAGTTTGTAGAAATATACTATTAGGTCTTTACATATTTTGAGTACTTTTGATGACGAAATAAAACTTTTTTTTTCTCGACTCGGCCGTTACTTGATGGTACTCTAAATCATAGCAAATGTAATAAATGTTTGAAATAAAATCTTCTCCTTAACCACCCTGTATCTCTTGAACCAGCAATATTTTTATGAGGCATGTTGGGCTGAATCTTCATATTTGGGTGTTTACTATCTGTAGTTCAGAGATTTCCCATTCCTAATTCAATGAATAAAATTATTAAAATTTCATAAGTGGAAAGTGAATCTCTTCAAGAGCGAATAACACAAAAACCGTTGAAGCTAGAAAGTTTGATAAAGGGTACATTTTGATCATCAATGAATTGGAATAGATGATATGGTGTAAATTATCGAAGTAACAGAGTGCCACTAGCGCCTACCATGAGCAATCACAAAATAAAATGCAAATTCATATTCCTCATGTCAGAAAACCTAGAAATACAAGATTTCATATTCATGCTGTAAAAACTAACAAAGTTATTGTGAAATTTTGAAATAAAAGCTCCCCCTAGAACACTCTGTATCTCCTAAACCAGCAACATTCTCATCAGGCATATTGGGCTAAATCTCATTATTTTTGTGTTCACTATCTGTAGTTCTGTGATTTCATATTCTTAATGAATCACCCTGTATATGTGATATATATATCCGGGAAAAAACTACTCACTTTTTTCCCGTGGGGAAAAAGGAAATGATGAAAAGTGACATTTTATAACCTGCCAACAGAGATGAAATTTCAACTTTTTTCCCGTCACAGAAAAAAATATTTTGTAAAATCGTAATCCGAAACAAGCCAAAAAGAATGAGCTGAAGATATTTATCACAATCATTTCACTAAATTTCAAATACTCTTTATTTTCAGGTTTTTTGATAATTTATCTCGGTTTTTGCTGCTTCGTCTGGTTACAGATAATTTCCTATGATATTTACTGGACTTTCGGGTGAGCAATACAGGCCGATCAGAATGAAAATAAATTGATAAAAATCCATCCTCTTTGTAGGTCCATTAAGAATGTTTCCAGTAATGACGAGAGAAAAAGGAAAGCTTTCAAGCGATTCATTTTCTACAGTTTGTATGGCTGGGGCCTGCCGATGGCAATCACAGCTTTTTCAATATTTTTCCACTATTTCAATGTTCTGCCTGCTCCGATAGAAATCAAAATGGGAAGAAGAAGATGTGCAATCGAAAGGAGTAAGTTTGGAAATGTAGACCTAGGACAAACATCATACAATTTGATTAACCGAATCAAAGATCATAATTGTTCTTATAGGTGATGGAAACTACGCAGAAATATTATTTCGTACCATTCCACTTACGGCAATACTGATGGTAAATATCGTCCTATACGTACAAACTGTCAAATATTGCCTCAAAGTCAAGAACGAAATTAAGAATATGAATGAAAATGCATTGAACATAAAGAAAAAGAAGAAATTTTTTGCTAGGAGAGAGAGGTAAAAAAAGACATTCCAAAATTATTGTATAATATCGAGAGAAAAAAAGTTTTTTTTTTTAGATTTCAGCTTGTTGTTAAATTATCATTGACCATGGGAATGTTATACGTTTTTGAGGTGGCATCATCATTCGTAGATTTCAGTGCCAATACCATCACTTCGACCATAGAAATCATCTGGGATTTTATCAACTGTCTACAAGGTTAGTTTATTTGAAATAAAATATAAAATAATGTCAATATACCTATATACATATCAAGGAAAAAATTATTGGGCATCCATTTCGATGCTTGGTATTACTATCAGCAATAACTTTTCTTGGGAAAATCACGTGAGATCAATTGCTAAAAGTGCATCAGAAATCTTGGTTTTCTGTTTCGGGCCAGGACCTATTTCACTTCCAGTCAGCTGCTTATGATCTATAAGGCACAGATCCGACCTGTCCTGGAATACTGTTCCAATATTTGGAGTGCAGCACCCAAATATACCCTGAAACTCTTGGATTCTGTCCAAAAAAGGGCAATTCGTCTCGTGGGTGATGCCTCGTTCACAAACTCACTAACTTCGCTGGAACACCATGCATAGTAAAGTTGGCGATCTGGCTCTATTTTAAAGATAGATATTTCCATGGACGATGCTCTTCTGAAATATCAACAATTGTTCCTCCCTTGGCAGTCCCTGCGAGATTAACCCGTCGAGTTGAGGCTTCACACCCCTTTGTGGTCACTTTGGAGACCTGCAGAACATCTCTTTCCAAAGACTCTTCCATTCCACGAACAGCGAGGCTCTGGAACAAATTGGCAAGGAAGGTGTTCCCCGAGGCATATAACCTCCAGAAATCAAGGAAGAACACCAATTCCTACCTCATTTCCCTTGGTTCTCACGATGTTCTCTGAACATTACAGGATATCCCTTTTCGTGAGAACCAGAGCATAAATACAAATGAATTATTGCCAGGATTATTTTCTGATGAAAAATATATTATTGCTTAGTCAATAACCCAAAAAAATCTTTATTTTTCCAATTCCGACGAATAAAATTACTCTTTGCAAAACCAATTGATGAGATGAAATATTGATTTGTGAACACCCTGTATGTTGGCTGTTATTTAATATCTTCGTCAACACTTTCTCATTCATTATAGGAACTCCAAAAGAAAAAGTAAAAAGATTTTTCTTCACCCCTTATTTCGTTCCATTCACTCGAGATAATTTTCCGGTGCGAGAAACTTTCGTGAGGATGAAAACCCATTGAAAAACATAACAAGAGTAAATAGAGGTGCAGTTTTCCACTTATCCCGTCGCTCCTGACATACTTGATAAGGGTTTTTTTTCCTTTTTTCAGGGCTCTTTATTTTCCTCATTTTCGTGTGCAAGAAGAAAAACATATTGACGTGCAAGAAATCCGCTACCTTTGAGAAAATAAGGAAAATTTCACTGTCTAGCACCAGGACGACTATCGCTTCATCTGGAACTACAAAAAGCAACATTAATTCGAAAATCAAAATGGAGACGGAACAACATAAAGAAGAAAATCCATGAAAATAAAGCATTAAACAATCAGTATTATATTCAGAATCGATGATACACTTACATATGGATTCCACAATAAAGAGATACATTAAAATAACGTTTAGAAGAGAGACATTGTTTATAAATTGAAAAAAATTGTTCAAATCAGAGTATGTTGATGATTATTATTATTATGGGATACTATAACGTGTATATTCGTATATGCATGGGGTATATTTACTGACAATCGAGATGATATCGAGATAGTTATGAACGTTACAAGGCCGATATAGGTATAGCAAATCAAGGCTGGGTTGAATATTGTGCTCCGAGGCGCAGCCGAAGATTTATAACAACCGAATCCGTTATGCGTCTTGATTCCAAGGGAAGAACAAACCACGTACCTCGTATTTCTATACAGAAAAATACCAACATTGTGTTAACGACGCCGGCCGTTAAACAATCTTAACGGACGGAGGCTGTTAACATCAATTTTTCAATTATCATCTGAATACCGTTACATCAAAATAACAGTTTGGGATTGCGAAAAACAAAATTTACATAAACAATCTTGTTGATAATATTTCCGAAATTATACTCCAAACGATCGAAGAGAGAAAATCAAAACAAATCCAAAAATGCCACTCAAAATCGACATCAACGTTTTGCCAAATATTATATCATTATACATCATAATATTCATCCGATTTGAGAGAGAATGTCAATTCTGAATTTCAGAGGATTCTCATTTTCATATTCTACTTTTGGATGTTGAACAGATATAATTCAATGTTGTGTTCTGTTGAATATTCACAATGATAATGTGTGCATATACATTCTTATCTGGAAGAGAATGCAAATTCTCAACTTCAGAAGATTTCATTTTCAAATTCTTATCGTGTGCTCGATAGATATACTCCAATGTTCGTCGTGGTATACAGGGTGTCCCAGAACAACGTACATTAAATTCAACTAGAGTTCAAAATAGGTCGATTGAGACCAACTTTCCTCTGTACGAAAATGCACCGTTGGGCCGTGAGAGGGCGATGAATGGAATTTTTTTTTCAGATTTTATTGAATATTTCAAAATCCTTGAGAGGTAATGCTCTGAAATTTGGAAAGCAGTCAACTATAAGAAGTGTGCATAGATAACAGGTCTCATCAGTTCAATCGATATACAGGAAGATACAAATTCAGCATTCTGATTGGAGAAAATCCATAGAACTTTTTTTGAGAACGCCACTGACAATATTTCAATATCTACTTGAATAACAAAATCAATCATCTATCTTTTTTCTCACTACATTTCTTTCTAAATTTTGCTTGGTTTACGAAATATCTGAAAAAAATCTTTCGGAGTCCCTCCATATATCATCCATAGTCCAAGACATCAGAGTTATCGTGTTCTGCAGGTTTCTTCCTCCTTCATGTTTCATGTTGATATTTTGGTCACGTATTCATGTTAATTATTCAATAACCCTTTCATCATACAGGGAATATTTTCGATTTCTGATCCAAACGTCCTTGTATACATCACCTGTCAATGAATGGGGGTGAGAAAATTTCCATTATCTAGAATTTTTTCAGGGCCCATTCCTTATCCACCTATGAAGGCGTTGACCCTTAACGCATGGCCTACCATAGTCATTAACAGTGAAATCCTTATTATGTATTATCTTCATTTGCATAGCTTTTCTTTCAACCTTCGAGGTACAGTCAGATAAACACGCTAATAAAAGTATTCATCATTACCATTACCATACAGGGTGACATACTGACATAACATAACATCGCAATAAATACAATAAATCTATTCAACATTCTTCATAGAAAGTCAGAATCTGGAAGATATATCGCTATATAATAACATTTATTGTTATTTATATTGAACACAGCAATATGCTTTTCGAACAAAAATTCACAAAATACGGTTTTCCAAAATCTATAAACGAGACATTTAGATTCGAAAATTGAACAAAAAATGAAAAAAGGCATGGCTATTGAAATCCTAGTTTTCGAATATCTTCAATGTGAAAATAAAGAGAAGGCTTCTGATCTGATCCTCAAGTTTTAACTTTTTTTTTATGTTCTGGTTTCCACGAAAAGGGATATCCTGTAGTGTTCAGAGAACATCGTGAGAACCAAGGGAAATTAGGTAGAAATGGGTGTTCTTCTCAAATTTCTGGAGGTTATATGCCTCGGGGAACACCTCTCTTGTCAATGTGTTCCAGAGCTTCGCTGTTCGTTGGATGAACGAGTCTTTGGAAAGAGATGTTCTGCAGGTCTCCAAAGTGACCACGAAGGGGTGCGAGGCCTCAACTCGACGGGTTAATCTCGCGGGGACTGCCAAGGGAGGAACGATTGTTGATATTTCAGAAGAGCATCGTCCTCGAAAATATCTATTCTAGTGTCTGTGTCTAGTATTTCTGGAATTTCTACTATACTAGCTCTCGATGGGAGAATTTTGGCTGATGTAAAAAAGGATCTTGCCCCAAATCTCATACTTTGATTGCTGTATATTATGTTCCGTGGTGCCATTCGACAATATATATGTCGGCGTCAAACAGTGAAATCCGTCACTAGCTGAACATATCCTTACTGAAGATGGACAACATATGGCAGAATGGAATAATTTTATAAAATCATTGGAAAAGAAGATAACAACCAGAAGAGAAAAATCAAGAAATCTGCTTGCATTCTTCTGAACGGTGACAATAGCATTGCTTCCTGTTCAGTTGATATAGATAGAACATGAAATCTGAAAATGAAAATGGTAAATTCAAGATTGATCACCAATTGTCACTGAGAAATGAAAAGTGTCAAAAAAAATACGAATTTGCTATTCAAATATCCATTTTTATGTTGAAAACGGGAGCAGATTCGTTCCCGAAACGTCCAAGGCTAAGTGAAAATTTGATATTTTTTCTATATACATTTATATCTCCTCTCCAAACATTTTTCAATACAAATTGTCACTGACAAGCTAGTGAATTTTTCTTTCAGGCTCTCTGATAGGAAAATTCTTTAAACGCAGTGACATTTTGGGGCATATCATCTGATTTGTCTTTACTACACGTATATTGAAATAGTATTCATATTTTTATTTTATAGAAACGAGGAGAGAAAATCCCAAAAAACCTACAGACAGTATTTAATAATTTATTTACTATAGTGCTATTGCCAATCACGTGCTCATGCCGAGTCGTATTATAATATATCTCATTTATAAATCACATGAGTCGCGATCACGATTACAAATCACAAGAATTTAGGTGTGCCCTTATTCAAATCTGGTCTTGACATTGAATGTACCCACGAATATACAGGGTGTTCCTGAATGTTATACATATCGAAGGACATAATTCGTTGGATTATTTCAAGACTGGAAGTTGTTATAAACATAAGTCCTAAGCTGATCCGTTAATATACAGGGTGCTAATATTGAAGATGTGTATGAAGTGTTTTTCCTTAAATTACTATATAGATAACCGCTTAATAAAAACTCAAGATATTCTATCGAATCAGCTTTCCATTTCTCCGTGAAGTTTATGAGCATCCATTTTATACGTTCATTTTTTATTATTTCCATAGGCTCATATTTTGGTTGGTTTGGTTATTCACAAATTTTATATTGACTGCATTGAGACTCTTGTGATATTGGCTATAGGTACTTCCTGTAATTAGTCGAAAAAAAAAATGAGTAGTTCAGACGGACATGAGCCACTGTGAAATCTGTCACCGAGCACACATTTTTTCATGAAACCAGTTCACACCACACCTTACTTACTTATCAATTAATTCATGGTCTAGTAACCTATGCACTGAGTTTCGTTAACATTTTTGAATTCCGCATGAGTTCTATCGCCTCTTAAATTTTTCCATCCACAATCTGAAACACCCTGTATACGAATTCAAATGATAGCGTAATAAATGTACGGGCATAAACAATATACCTACGTTGCCAATGACAAATGATACAAGAATGTATTGTCTCAAGTAGGCCATGATTGAACGATCGAGAGGCGAGGGACGCCGTAACAAACAATGCGAGCGTGTGTTCTGTGTCTCGTTTACAAGGTGACTTTTACGTTTCGCGCATATCTATTGTTTTGTTTTCTCGATTGTTTTTGTACGAGGTGTCACGATACGGACCAACATCGTAATATATACTGGCTGACTGACAAAAAAGGCCCCAAGCCATTATACAGGGTGACTCAAGAGTAAGCAGCATCCTTTCAGGAGCGTATTCCTTGCATAAAAATTAGGCTAAAAATTCTTCCAATGAGGGTCCGAAAATGCTTCCTGAGGAAGCTACGCCCCATTGAATAGGACACCTCAAAGACGATTTTTTCTCTATAAATTGGTGTACGGCGTAAACATTTGATGAAATGAATTCAAAATTGTAAAATTTCATTCAGGGACGTCACATGCGGGGGGGGGGGTTAAGTGTAAAAACATCCCTTCTTCTTTTGATAATCAGGTAATTGTGATTTCGTTTGAATATCATAAAACTCAAGAGTTTTTCACGTGATAAAGGTTCTTTTAATTCATTGCCATAGAGCGTACCATTTAGGAGAAAATTGACTTTGAAAGTTTCTGATTTGGGTAAATCACATTAACTTGAATAGCAAAAGAAGAAGGGATGTTTTTTTTCACACTTACCCTTCCCCGAATTCAGTGTATTTTATACCATCAAATGTTTATACCGTACACCAATTTTCGAAAATATATTGTGAAGGATTTCGAAGTTATTGAGAAAAAAATCGTCTTTGATGTGTCCTATTCAAAGAGTCGTAGCTCCCTCAGAAAGCATTTTCGGACCCTTATTAATAGGAACTTTTTGCCTTATTTTCATGCAGAAGGAATACGCCCCTAGAAGGATGCCGCTTACTTTTGAATCACCCTGTATAACTCCGCTGTTGATTGTCATTATTTTGTCAAATTTCAACTGCAATGTTAGCGACTATATCTATATTTCTCTTCTTCCTTTAAACAGTTTTCAAAACAAAGTATCATCACTGACAATAGAATACATTTCTCTGTTAGGCTCTCTGATAGGAAATTTTTAAATACAGTGACATTCGGGTGCAAATCATGTGATTTGTCCACACTACACGTCTATTGAAATGAAACTCATATTTTTATTACATAAAAACAAGGAGAAAATCCAAAAAAATCTGGAGGAATGAATATGTCACCTCGATTGACCTACAGACAGTTTTTGAATTTAATTTTTTTTTACACTTTGTAAAATACAGAGGGGATGAAGACGTGCAGAAGCGGGGGCCGTCAGGTCATGATTTTCGTACTTTCCCGATATATGAAAGGTCTACGAGCTCTTGGGCTTGGGACAGCAAGACATTCTTCTAAAATTTTCATTTGGATCCTCCGATTCTGACTTTTTTCATAAGAAAAGTATGACCTGCGCACGTTTGACTAACGTTTATATGACGTAAGTCAACACAACCAAATGAAAATGACGTCACTTCTAAAGTCAATACGTCAATCTTGCGGAGATCTCATACACAGTAAACATCGTGAAAAAACATATTGGTTGGTCCTGAAAACTTGGCCAATCCAGTTTGGATTTATAGAGGTTTTGATACCGATACATTATGATGAGTACGTGGTATTCAAGATTCAAATGATTCCTCTGTGAGGTAAGTATTCTGAATTGAATCCATCTATTTAAACATAGTGTCCCAAAACTGTTTCACCGAGATACCGATTACTTATAAATTCCCTCAGTTTCACAAAATCAACATACATCATAAATTCGCCTCTTTAATTCAACAAGAAAACGGTCGAATAAATCTTCTTTCGTGTTGATATACCAGAGTTCACTGTTATCATAATAAACGTACTTGGGAAATGATAAACCTATATGCTTGGTGAAATTTTCGTATGAGCGTGTGTGTACTTTACACCTACACCTACCCACATACTTTGTGGTCCATAAACCTCAAACTCGAGGAACTTGGATGGGTTCGTCCTATCAGTTTTCGTAACTCAGATCCGATCTATTTCCTCCACAGTCCACATCCTCTTTGTCCAACTTCGAGTGCCTATAGTCACCGGCTTGGTGCTCGTTTGATATTCTAATGTTAATACTGTTTGCGTCCACAATAGAGAAGCTATCAAAACGGAAGGAACGCCTTTGCATAGGCGTAGACTCGTGAATTTTCACTGGTAATACCACTATTCAGTCAAATTATTTCCGGAATTTTTCTCGATATTTTGAAAATTATTCAGAGTCAAAGACGGGGGATAATTTTCGAAATATTCATGAAGGTTAGAAAATTTCACACCAGCTTGTGTTTGGAAATGAAATAATTTTAGAATTCATTTGTTCATTTGATTTGCATACAGGCTCATGAATAAATTCAGATTGGGTCGCAGTTTCGGCACCAATAATAGATTCCTGATTTCTACCTATTATATTTGCATGAAAATACTAATTTGAAATGTAACATATTATATTCTTCCACTTTATATTAACTTCGGGAAACTACAAGTGATAAGAAATTATAATTTTGTCAATTAATTTTTTATAGGTATAGGTACATACTAGTAGTAGTAGAGGAAGGTGAGGGGAAGTCAGTATGTCCGTCCACCTTAATTTGATCTTCCTGTTGAAGCGTATCAGTATAGGTACCAGAGATTTCGAATTCCAGCCTTCCAAAACGCTTTACACTGGCCCAGGTAGTGGTATGACATTCTATGTAATAGATGCATAGATGGATTCATAGCCTATTAAATGTTGATTCCTTCCCAATTGAAGTGGCACAAAATCACTATTTCAGGACGTTGCTATGGTAATTTGTCAGAAAAATCCAATTTAACTGTATGAAAATCACTGGTGTGGAATTTTCACTGTTATATAATTTGTACCCAACAGAGTGGACAGTGAATTCTTTGATATATTTAAAGTATGTCTATTCAGTAATGAGTAGACTATTTTCAGAAGTAGTACCGAATGAAATCTTGTAGCAAAATGTATCTATCAACAATTTGAATAAATAGTGAATATCCACAAGAGAATTATAAATATCGCCATACATACTTTATTATATCGACAGTGTGTAAATTGACTTGTTGAGCACCCTCAAAAAACATATGCTACGACAAATTTAAAACATTTCTTCTCCAGCTTAACCAGAACCAGAACAATTATTCATCGAAAAGTCCTAGTTTCAGAACTGATTGCAGAAATTACTTATATCCTTTGGACATGCTGACTATTTTTTGTGTGAATTGTTATCTAAGACAGCAATTTTTTAGTGAAATTTTGGTGGACCACTAGATTGAAATATTCCTCAGATAAGATAATTCTAATCATGTGAAAATAAGTAGGTAGTCGTTTTAAAAAATCAATGTCAATAACTTATGCTTTTGTTTATGAGGATTTTTAGATTTTTCAATATTTTTCAAACAAGGTGTCACTAACTGTCGATGAAAGCTCTTTTTACCGCAGTGACATTAGGGGCGAATAATGGAATTTGTTTTTTCTACAAGTATATCGTGAAATAATTAATACCATTATTTTTATTTTTAATACCGAGGAGAGAAACCCCCCAAAATTTATAGAAATGAATGATTAGTTTCCTTCATTTGTTAAAACTTTCGAGTGCCATTACTGGCTTCACGGCCATCAAGGAACAACCGTTTTTAAGTGTTCCAATTCTTTAAAAATATTTGGTCTGGTTTTGAAACGACGGAATGGAATGATTCAATGCTGTTAATTGTCATTATTAACTGTTTTTAATTTTGTTTTGTTTCTGTATTTTTCGAAATTGTTGATATTCCTCATCGAGTTCCTCATATTTTTCTGTTTTAACTTTTAAATACGAATAAGTCTGCTTTGAAATGTACCAAGTGAATATTGATGAGATAAAAATAAAAATTCTAACTCACTTTCCAACCTTCCAAAACATGAAATCTCTAAAATAAGTAAAATGACAGCTCTTTCTAGTGGTTTCTGTGGTAGTCAACAAACAAAACAAAAACAACCAAATGTCAGCTGACGAATGACGAAATTTATTTCAAAAATATAACATTTTGGCGACCATCTAAATCATGACGTAATATCGAATATGTTTCCAAACCATCATTGAATACAGTTCTACGATAAAAAACAGCTCTATTGTCACCATGCCATACCATCATGAAAAAACTTGTTGCCATCCAGCACCAACTTGTTGCCATACCACCACTGCCATCAATCAACAACTTGTTGCTTCTGATGGTAGTGATGGCACACTATTTTTTTTTATTCGGAAGTGCTCGCAAAAGGTTGAACCTATAATCCCGTGGTGGAACTGCGAGCACTAAGGAGGGACAAATATCGATGGATCCTCCTCTTGAAGGTAAATAGATTGTAGTTCGCTGGAAATACATCTGTGGGTAAAGAATTCCACAGTGAAGATGTCCTACAAAAGAAGGAGTTCTTGAAATATGTTGTTCTAGGTGTTTCAATTTTGACTGCATATTGGTGTGAGACTTGAGCCAGCCGCGTTTGGCGAACAAAGGTCATTCCAGGGGGGACAGCTGATGACAATTCAACAGAGCATCGTCCATGATAGTAGCGATAGAAGAGTGATAAGTCTGCAACGTCTCTCCGAAGTTGAAAAGTTTGCAGTGATCTTGTCAGAGTTGGGTCATTGACCATCAAGGGATGGTCGAATCTGGGCTTTGTAGAGTGTCAGAAGCTGTTGTGAGGTGAGATACTTCTTCGCGCGGAAGAGGAATCCCAGCTTTTGAGAGGCAGCTCTGGCTATATTGGCAACATGGTCATGCCAAGATAAACTGTCAGATACCGTGATGCCGAGCATTGATAGTGATGAACTGATTGGTAAGGTTCTTCCAGCCATAATTGTATCAGGACCCGCACTATATACGAAGACATCGTGGAAAATGGAGAGACAACAGACAAATGTAGTGTCTTGACTGTCTTGTCCTGCTCTCGTGTGGCGGGATCAGAAAAGGTATTGTTGCCACCTGTTCGATGATAATACACTACAACAACAAGTCATTTCGTTATATTATTATTCTTAGCAACCCCCTTGGTCTCCACCACAGCCGGCTTTTTCTCTCACCGCTTCCCATTGTCGTAGCCATCGTACCGTGTCACACATAGAGAACACAGGACTACATACACGATACACGGCCAGAAAGGCAGTGATAAAACAAAGTTGGCGGAAACCGGTGATACGTGCGAGCGCACAACACATCTAGCATGCCATGAGAAAAAGCGAAATGAAGTCGAACGGTGTGATTATCGCTGGTGGAAACAAAGGTGCGACGGCGGCACAGAGTAGTAGTGTAGTATGGCCTACTCGGATCGCCATGGGATGGAAATGGTAGCACTCACTAGCGCGGAATGATACGACTATGGCGCGCAGTTTTTTCCATGCGAGATCGCAGTGTGCCGGAACTGTCAAAGTGTGGAAATCGTAAACAAAGTATCGCGACGTTTGTTTTGTGGCGTTGTACCTGGTTGTTTGGATTTTTTGCGCCCCGATTCAACAAGTTTGTATAGGTAGTATATTTATATATTGCCTTTTAAATTTTAATTGTTGTTCTGTATGAGATCCATTTCATTCATTCTCTATTGCGACAGTCAAGTATTGTGACGAAATACCTACCTATATTGTTCGATATATTTTGCGTGGTCGCTTTGATTTACCTCACAACTTTATCTTACTCATTAATCTCACTATCATTCACTACTCGAGCCTGGAAATGGAAATGACTGAACATTTTGACTAAACTACTGAATTTAGAGGGACCTATTAACAAATAATGTATGTCGAAATTGCCTTGACAATTTAATTCGTGTATGAAAAATCCTACAAGCCGCGTGATTTTGTCATTATATGGCAGCGAAAAAAGTTTGCCCTAACTTTTCCAGCGACAATAACAGAACCTAACTTTTGAAAGCAGGACAATCAGCCATAAACAAATGTTTGGTGAATTAAATTTTCTTACCAATTTACACTCTAGCTTTTTTTTTTAGTCGAAGTGAACTCGGAATTTTGTTGCCATTAAGTTTATTCAACTCAAAAGGCAGTTTTTTCGTCAGATTGCCAGACAAAATTTGAGGATTGGCAACACTGAACAAAAAAAGTGAAAAATCGAAGATCTCTTGAGTTTTCTGACAGAATGCCGAAGTTATAACTCCTTCTACTCTCGGATTAAAATCTCTTTATAAAATGCTATATTTTTGTAATAGATTCAGGGTTAATAAAATCGAAAACGACGAATATGATTTTTTTGTTGCTTTTCAGATAACTTTTCTGATGATAATCAAATTCAAATGACATTTTAGGATCAATTAGACATCGCAACTGATGAAAACTGAATCTGATAGCGAAGTCAAAATTTCACAAAAAAGTCGCTGATAACATTCAGCTGTTTTGGACACATTTGAATATGTTTTTTGCTGTGAAAAAAAAAATGTGTAGGTTTTAATAATATATAAATTTTATATAATTCGACAAAAACGGCTGTTTTATAACTTCGAAAATACATTAGATATTTTTATGAAACTTGATGGATGTGAACAAGAAGGAAAAAGACAAATCACTCGGATATTCTCAAAATAATATGTTCATCAAAAATAGGACAAAAACGGATCTATTCAGGGTGTTTCAAAATTCAATATCAAGATTTCAGAGCTGATCTACCGAGCCATAAACTTTTTTGTGGTGTGCCCTTGTACATTTTGAAATTGGGTGTGAGTTTTTCGTTTTGTTCATACACTTATTTGTCACTTGTAATTTTTACGAATATGCGACCGTTGAGAAAAAAGTCATCTTTTGTAGCTCGCCAGATTTAATTAATATTTTTAATACCTTTTATCACAATTAAAACAAAAACGCTAATCATACTCCGTTCGTGATCCTAATTACAAGTTTCCAAACGTCACCTGAAAAGTGAGAAACCCAACAAACCTTGATATTTTATAAAAGCTGCTGAAAAATGAGTAATATTAAAACTTCTACGCTCTGTATATCGGTAATGAGGCATTTGCGGACACATACAGTGTAAATCTGAGAGTGAGCTTTTCTATTTAACAGGGTATATATCACGCCAAAATAAGTTGTTGGGCCAAAAATTGTTTATGTAATAAATGTTAAATAACAGTTCACTTCAAAACGAAAATCAATAGGTAGGTTGATAATGAAAAAAGAGGTTTTTGGTAAATTTTTCTAATGAAATATTGCAACTGTAGGGTATTTGTTGCTGGACTAATATCGGCTGTTTTGCGTTTCTTGAGAAAATGTTAACAACATGTTTTATAGTTGGAGTCTTCTTTGAACCTTTGAATACATGTATGTACCTCCAGTATCTCAAATATTTTATGGGAGCAATTTTTTTCCAAATAACTTATTTATTCCACTTCCAGATTCACCCTGTTTTTATAGAGAAATGAGGTCGTATTTTGACCTAAAAATAAAAATGAAATCTTGATACTGACAATTGAAACCCTGTTATATATCTCAATTCCATCCACAAATTCACCTCCCCGATCTCTTTATTATTGATATTCAATTTCGAGGCACCCTGTATCTCTACTTATAATTTTGCTTATTCTGATGAATACGATATAACCATATGGTATTATCTCGGATAACCATGCGGGATACAATCCGGGTCGTTCAATGAAAAACCCCTTGTGTCTCATCATCTCCGATTTCAATCCTTCAACCTCGACCTAGACCAACCCCCTAAAGCATCCCCCCGTTTTCTGCCCCTAGAAGCGGCGACCTTCTCGACCACCCCCGAATTGCGAACGGCGAACTCCGAGGCGCCCCCTCCCCCTTCCCCCACTAGAAATGACTTTCCCTTCGCCAGAAGGAAATTTAATAAACTGGCGAAGTGGTCGGGAAACGAGTTTTCTCAGACTTTTCAACTACACGATTACAGAGATATTTGTGCAAATCAGAGAAGTACTAGGACTTATTTTCCAGAGGCGGGGTTCATTTATCGCATGCGAGCATTTCGTCTTTCGAAAATTCTTGTTTTAATAGGACAAAATTGAACTATTGGTGGATTGGTGGTGCATTCACCATTTTTGAAAATTTGCAAAGGATTTGTGCAAAACGAATACTTCGAAGAAATGTTGCAGAAAAAAATGCTGTAAAAGATGCCCCAGTATATTCTGACCCCTATACTTCAACTATACAAGGTGGAAGAAAACTTCAAAAATTAAAGTTGTAGGGTTTCATGTTTCATCTGTACTATCTTTTGGCAAGTTGCCGGAAATATGATCGAAAACTATTTAATCGAACATCATTTATTGATCGAAAATCAATTGGAGCTTGATTGCATCATCTCTCGAAAATTTTTGTTTTTATAGGGCAAAATTGAACTATTGGTTGATTGATTGCGCATTCACCATTTTTGAAAATTTGCAAAGGATTTGTGCAAAACGAATACTTCGAAGAAATTTTGCAGAAAAAAATGCTGTACAAGATGTCTCAGTATAATCTCACCCCTACACTTCAACTATACAAGGTGGAAGAAAATTTCAAAAATTAAAGTTGTAGGGACTCATGTTTCAACTGTACTATCTTTTGGCAGGTTGCCGGAAATATGATCGAAAACTATTTAATCGAACATCATTTATTGATCGAAAATCAATTGGAGCTTGATTGCATCATCTCTCGAAAATTTTTGTTTTTATAGGGCAAAATTGAACTATTGGTAGATTGATTGCGCATTCACCATTTTTGAAAATTTGCAAAGGATTTGTGCAAAACGAATACTTCGGAGAAATTTTGCAGAAAAAAATGCTGTACAAGATGTCTCAGTATAATCTCACCCCTACACTTCAACTATACAAGGTGGAAGAAAATTTCAAAAATTAAAGTTGTAGGGACTCATGTTTCAACTGTACTATCTTTTGGCAGGTTGCCGGAAATATGATCGAAAGCTATTTAATCGAACATCATTTATTGATCGAAAATCAATTGGAGCTTGATTGCATCATCTCTCGAAAATTTTTGTTTTTATAGGGCAAAATTGAACTATTGGTAGATTGATTGCGCATTCACCATTTTTGAAAATTTGCAAAGGATTTGTGCAAAACGAATACTTCGAAGAAATTTTGCAGAAAAAAATGCTGTACAAGATGTCTCAGTATAATCTAACCCCTACACTTCAACTATACAAGGAGGAAGAAAATTTCAAAAATTAAAGTTGTAGGGACTCATGTTTCATCTGTACTATGTTTTGGTAGGTTGCCGGAAATATGATCGAAAACTATTTAATCGAACATCATTTATTGATTGGAAATCAATTGGAGCTTGATTGCATCATCTCTCGAAAAATTTTTGTTTTTATAAGGCAAAATTTAACTATCGGTGGATTGATTGCGCATTCACCATTTTTGAAAATTTGCAAAGGATTTGTGCAAAACGAATACTTCGAAGAAATTTTGCAGAAAAAAATGCTGTACAAGATTTCTCAGTATAATCTAATCCATACACTTCAACTATACAAGGTGGAAGAAAACTTCAAAAATTAAAGTTGTAGGGTTTCATGTTTCATCTGTACTATCTTTTGGCAGGTTGCCGGAAATATGATCGAAAACTATTTAATTGAACATCATTTATTGATCGAAAATCAATTGATCGAAAAATTAAATGATCGAAAATCAATTGATTTAAATATCATTCAATCGAAATATCAATTGATCGAATTACATTTCGATCGAACTAATAACATAAAAGAAACATATTATTATTATTTGATTGAATCCTTCATTTCCTGAAATTCCAAGTCATTTCACGTGAGTATAGCAGACAATATCGCCTGATGATAATGAATATAACAACCTCTTTGAGTCTATATCACTCAAACTGGAATTCATTCAGGAGAACCATCCAACAGCTGAAATCATAATCATAGGAGACTTCAATGTACACAACGCAGCCTGGCTCAAATTCTCTATCAAAACAGATGATGCAAGTCGTCAAACTGAGGCATTCGCCATCACTCATAGTCTAGAACAACTAGTCGAACTACCAACCCGCATTCCAGATGTCAACAACCAGTCTGCCAATACACTAGATCCTTTTCTCACCAGCAATCCTGATCCTTATAGAATAGAAGTTTGTGTCCCACTTGGAAACTCTGACCACACCCGCATCTCCACAACCTGCTCTTTCCATGTACCATCCAGCACCACAATTCCTACCCGTCTCATGTGGCATTACAATTCGGCCGACTGGGAAGGTCTTCGTATGTTTTTTTCAGCGTTTCCATGGAAGAAAGTTTGTTTCTCCTTAGCAGATCCAACACGATGTGCTGAGACAATTTCTGAAATCATCATGTTGGGGATGCAAACCTACATACCGACCACAGCAAGAAGAACACCTTCCGATAAGGCCTGGTTCAGTAGAAACTGCTCTAGAGCTGTCGCTTCCAAACGGGCAGCATTCCATCGATGGCAGAAAAATCAAGGCCCTAGCTGAGACTAGAGCAGAATATGTCGAGGCTAGAGGCATATGCAATGAGACAAATCGATCATCA